AGAGTGGTTGAGAGAGGCAAGTGTGGTATGATTGGTGGTTGACAGAGAGGGGAAGGGGTTTTGGAAGTGAAAATGAGTGGATGAGTATGTATGTCAGTCAAGTTTTACAGTTACAGGTTTGACAGTTGATAGGTTCAGTTAGTTCTGTGTGTGAAAGGAGAGACAAGCAGTTCTGTGTTGAAGCAGTTATAAGCTGAAAGCTGAGTGTCTAGGAAACAGTAAAGTTTAGGTGAACAAAAGTTAAAGGAAAGTCTGAGTGACAGGCTAGAGTGAAACAGTAAATGTATATGGCATTGAGATAAACAAGTGTTACAAAGTTACATGCAAAGATCCCTGACAGAGAGGGAGAAGATTGTGTGGGATACCAAAGCAATTGTTCAGTATTTACACATTACTAGTTACATTGTACTACCCTCTTATTTATGCTTTATTTCAATAAATCCTCTTTCATTCAAGTATACCAGCTCTGAAATAAATACTTCCTCAGGACCACATAGTTCCTCGTAAGCCTTGAACTCGGTCTACCAAAATAGTAAGAACAACAGTAAAGTATAAAAGGTTTGGAAATCCTTAAAATTTCCTGGTGGCAGCCGTATATACCCAGATAAACAGAATAAAAAGAGGACTTTTAAAGTGAAACCAGTCCTCCCTAATAAGGAGGGCATCACAGAGCCCATCTATTCAATTGAGTTGGGACCATTTTCCACATTTGACCATGCCTAGAATACGGGGTTTCTCATTCCTAACCCTGTCTCACAAACTCCACCATTGTGATTGACTGGTACTGAAATTATCCCCAAGGAAGAGGAAAGGGTACACCTGAACCCATCTATGTTAAGGAAAGCTAGTCTCTTTCCTCAAAAGCCATGTGGGCATACAATTTTTTTCCTACGTCAGGTATGTTTGCACAGGGATTGTTCACAAAGGTGATGTCCATAATGTTAGGCAGAAAGGAGCTACAACATTTGTATCCTACGCCTTCTTTCAAAGATCACGAGGGGCATATAGAGTTCTTCTCACAACAACTGTGCAAGGTAGGCTAGTATAGGAGAGTGACAGGCCCTCGCTCATCAGATTTGATGTCAGGGCACAGATCTGGACTTGGGTCTTAAATACTTGTTCAAAAATCTAACTTGGGGGCCAGCAACCTTTCATAATCAGAAGAAGAAGAAGAAGAAGAGAATAAGAGATTGGATTTATACCCCGCCCTTCACTACCCAAAGGAGTCTCAGAGCGGCTTACAAACTCCTCTCCCTTCCCCTCCCCGCAACAGACACCCTGTGAGGTAGGTGGGGCTGAGAGAGCTCTGAGAGAAACTGCTCTTTTCTGAGAACAGCTCTGACAGAACTATGGCTTGCCCAAGGTCATCCAGCAGCTGCAAGTGCAGGAGTGGGGAATCAAGCCCGGTTCTCCCAGATTAGAGTCTGCACACTTAACCACGACACCAAACTGGCCAAACGACATCAAACATTCAGAATAAGAGATCAATAAAGAGCCAGAATAAGACAGCCCGTTTGCATAACTGAAACTCTACAACTTAACATGACTAATAAGTGACATACTGATTAATAACCCATAGTTTCTGCAACCCAAACACCGGGCACTGTGAGGAGAGCCTTGCGTGACCGTTTTAGTGTCCTGGCATAAATCTGCACAAGGCTAGCACTTAGATTATTGGCAACTCTTCCCCACTGTCATTTCCTTGTCTGTAAAGCATCTTTTCATCTCTTAAAAGCCTTTCCTACCGTTCTGCGCACAAACGGGCGATTCTAGCCTACCCCGCCAATATACCTTAACTTAAAAGATTTCATTTTCTTAAACCCCCTGGCTTAACCACTATTTCACAACATCTCAGGCTGTGATCAGACACAGGAGACAATCCACTTTCAAATTGGATTTTGCCAGTTCACACAGTGCAATCCACTTGGAAAGTGCATTGGGAGTGGATTGAAAGTGGATTATTTAGGGTGTGTGATCGCAGCCCCCTGACAGGGTAACGGGCAGCGTTCCCTCTAAGCTGAGTTAGTGTGAGCCAACTCACAGTTTTTTAGCCTCCGGCTCACACATTTTTTTTAAAGATTGAAGGTCAAAGAAGACGGGGATGGCAAAGGATGAGATGGTCAGACAGTGTCATAGATGCAACGAGCATGAAATTGAGCCAACTTCAGAGGACGGCGGAAGACAGGAAGGCCTGGCGTGATCTGGTCCATGGGGTCGCGAAGAGTTGGACTCGACTGTGCGACTGAACAACAACAACACACATTTTTGTCTTCGCTCAGGAAGGATGGCTCCGGAGCAGACTGATTTATGCAGTAGCCAAATCGCTCGCTCACAGCTTTAAGGCCAGCAGCTCCACAAAGTAGAATTTTTGCTCAAAAGACTCCACAGCTCAGAGGGAGCATTGGTTATAGTTCCCTCTAAGCTGAGCTAGTGTGAGCTAGCTCACAGTTTTTTAGTCTCCGGCTCACACATTTTAATCTTAGCTCAGGAAGGATGGCTCCAGAGCAAACTGATTCATGCAGTAGCCAAATCGCTCGCTCACCACTTCAATGCCAGGAGCTCACAAACGAGGATTTTTGCTCACACGACTCCACAGCTCAGAGGGCGCACTGGCGACAAGCACATTGCCAGAGCCACACAGGGGACTTCTCAAGGCAAAACCACTTCAAAACCCCGCTCACACATTTTTTTTAAAGATTGAAGGTCAAAGAAGACGGGGATGGCAAAGGATGAGATGGTCAGACAGTGTCATAGATGCAACGAGCATGAAATTGAGCCAACTTCAGAGGACGGCGGAAGACAGGAAGGCCTGGCGTGATCTGGTCCATGGGGTCGCGAAGAGTTGGACTCGACTGTGCGACTGAACAACAACAACACACATTTTTGTCTTCGCTCAGGAAGGAAGGCTCCGGAGCAGACTGATTTATGCAGTAGCCAAATCGCTCGCTCACAACTTTAAGGCCAGCGGCTCCACAAAGTAGAATTTTTGCTCAAAAGACTCCACAGCTCAGAGGGAGCATTGATTATAGTTCCCTCTAAGCTGAGTTAGTGTGAGCCAGCTCACAGTTTTTTAGTCTCCGGCTCACACATTTTTGTCTTCGCTCAGGAAGAATGGCTCCAGAGCAAACCGATTCATGCAGTAGCCAAATCGCTCGCTCACCACTTCAATTCCAGGACCTCACAAACTAGGATTTTTGCTCACACGACTCAACAGCTCAGAGGGCGTACTGGCGACAAGCACATTGCCAGAGCCACACAGGGGACTTCTCAAGGCAAACCACTTCAAAACCCCACTCAGATCTCAGCTGGACAACCAAGCTGGACCTGTAACCAAGTGCTTCCCCCCCCCACCCCACTTTTCCTGGTGCAGGTTCCTCAGGTTCCCCAAAGCTATGCCCATGAGAACTGTTTCTAATGGCAACTCTTGTAATCTTTTTTTTTTTTGGCCACCCGTGACCAGTGTTCCCTCTAAGCTGAGTTAGTGTGAGCCAGCTCACAGTTTTTCAGCCTCCGGCTCACACATTTTTGTCTTAGCTCAGGAAGGATGGCTCCAGCACCAACTAATTTAATGCAGTAGCCAAATGGCTCGCTCACAACTTTAATGCCAGGAGCTCACAAAGTAGAATTTTTGCTCACAAGACTCCACAGCTTAGAGGCAACATTGCCCCGTGACCCGATGCGAGCAGCAATCCGATAAAGCGCCGGAGGGAACAAGCTCTACCAACTCATCATGTGCACCAAGCCAAATGTGCTTTTACGAACCCCACGGGGACCCAGACACCAGCATGGGATTTCTGCCTGCCGGGGAGAGAACGGCGACGGTATGTCCCACCTGACTCTTAACACCGGACACCGACCACAGTTTTAAAAGGTCGGCCGTCGGTATCCTTTTTCCTGGGCTTTGTACACCCCCCCAACCCCCAATATCTCGACTTGCTGATCCGCTGCAACAGTTCCTGCCTCGCTGGAAAGATCTCCAATATGAACCCAAGGTGCACGCGGTTAGGCTTTTGAAGCCGGGAGTTTTAGATGCCTAATTTAAATTTTATATATATATATATA